AATTTGCTTCCCTGCCCACCTAAAATTCCAGGACTTTTGAGTCCTCTTCAAATCTTCTCCTCCCTATTTACCTTTTCTTTCTTGTCCTGGAGCACCACCAGCTGAGAGTCTTGATTTTCACAGCTTTTTGTGCCTTGAGTCCAGTTTCCCAATTCCTCAGAAAGCCAGTAGCATCTTTCCCCATGGAGCTGCCAGTCCTGGGGACACAGCTTGCAGCCAACATAGGCTGAAAAGGAGAAAAACCCATGAGACACCTTAAAGAGTGGTCAAGGTCTTCCCTAACCACCAGGCACTATCATCCCACAGCTCATCTCTATCCCTCCCCATTCTTGAATTTTTCAAACCATTGTGCTTTTTCCTGCTCAGCCACCAAAGCATCCAACAGGAAGACCACAAGGACACTATTGGCTGGTTAGGGTGGAGGAAGAGTGGTGAGGAACCTCCTCCCTAGAACGGACTCTGTTCCATGGAGGAGGGATCAGCAAAAATTGTATGGAAAGGAGAATTCTTCCTTGCAGCTGTCCTCTTTGCCAAGTAACCCTTGGTGGCTTCATGGCCTCAAGGGTGTCCCTGCAGGAGTAGCCCCCCCCAGAAGTCCCACCTGAGCATCTCCCAGCACAGCCATGTGGGAAGGAGGTTTACCTGTGGGATTCTGCCCCTGGGGCTTGCACAAATACTGCACCAGGGATGAAAACATGCACTGCTCCGTCTGGTTTCTTCCCTGGATCTCACTGCTTGGCTGGGGAATGCTTGTCACTGCTGCCTGCAGGGAGCCCTGAAAAACTTGGAGCAATGTTCCGGAGTGAGAAGCCACAGACATTTGGGGGTAAAAATGACAAAGTCCACAAAACCAGGTTTCATTTTCTCACACAGTGAATTAAGCCAGCCTCAAAAACACGTCTTGTATCCTCCACCCTTGTTTAATGGCTACAGGAATAATCCAGGATTACTCAGAGGGGGTTTACTCTTTGTGGAGTGATGCTACATCTCTGTGGGACAACTTTGTCCTCTCCAAAGGCTGAAATGCTAAGATAAACCCTGATTTCCCCTCCCAGGCTGTTAGCTGGAGTGTGAGAGATAGATAAGAGCTGGTTACTCACCTCGTATGCTCAGTACCACAACCAGGACCAGCAGGATGAGTTGCCCCAGGGCTCCGGCTTTGAGGAGGAACCTGTGCCACCAGGGACAGGAGGGAGGAGCTGAAAGAGGCCACATTAGCTTACAAAAATGAAACATGAAAAACCTGGGTTTTTAGAGGAAAAAGAAAAAGCCCCTCTGTCAAGCTGGTGAGTTTGAGCAGAAGTTCACGGCTGCTTTGCTTCCTCCAAAAGAGTAAATCACCACTGATGTGATCTAGAGTGAGGGCATCACTCATGGGTGGTTTCTCAGGTGGCTGCAGAAACCTCAGGAGCAATCTTGGACACCTAGTGATGGAGCTTGGCATACCTGAAACCTTCTGAAATTGGCTTAATTTAGAGCTCCAGGTAGAACTGGGAGAAGGTGGGACAAAGAACTCTACAGCCCTCATCTCCACCAGGATTCCAGACAGGATCTCAACAGCATTTCTTTCCATCCAGGTATGTTGGCTTACGCTGGGCTTCTTGGGATCCCTTTTGCCCACAAAGTGAAGGGTCTCAGGGGTAATCTGGATGTTTGTCAGCCTTCCCCGTCTCTTTCTTGCTCTTTTCCCCCCTGTATTCAAGCCATGATCCTACCTTTGAAGACATTCAACCCACCCAGTGTTCTCCACAGTCTTGGAAACCTCAACATGGGGATGGAGAAGCAAGAAAACCCAAAAGTAAACAAAACAAAAAATCTTCCAAAATAATAAAATACGCATTCCACTCCCCCCACAACAGGACTTACCATGGTGTTTCCCAGCAGGAGAAGAACAATCCCCAAGATTACTTAAATCAGCATAAACAATTTCCCCAGCCATGGTCACTCAGAAGGTCACAGCAGTGTTCCAAAAATGATACTGTCCTTGGGCAACCTCTTGCCTTGTAACCCATGCACTCATGCCTGCATCCGGCTCCAGGAAATGGTTTTGGCTGGGTCTTTTATCTGCCTTCTTTTTTTTTTTTTGGGGTTTTTTTTTTTTAAGTATATATTTTACAGCTTTCTCTTGCAAATGAAGGGTGGTGAGGAGGTGAGTGTTGCCCAGCCGGGAGGAGGTGGCACACCTGGAGGTGTAGAAATACCTATGGGTTTGATGGTTGTGCTAAACATCTGTGAAAGCCAGTAGAAAATAAGAAAAAAATAATGTAAAAGCCTTTAAATAAGGTTTTGATGGTGAGGCTGAAGCATGTCATGTGCTGGATCAGCATGGCTAAAGGCAGGTAATCAGATGAGGAGGAGGCAGGTGACATTTGATGTTCCTTCACAAAAATATGGGCTGGAAGTGAATTGAAATGCCTCTGGATTTGGGAGACAGACCATAGCACAGAACAACCATCTATTCCCAGCCAATGTTGACCTTTTTCCTTCCCTTTTCTTTGTTTTATTTTTGTGTTAACCCCAGGTTTTGGCTGGTGCTGTAACATCCCCAGGTAACACCTTTTGATAGACCTAAACCTGATGGTTTATTCCTCAGACACCCAAAAAACAGCAAGAAAAAGACTAGATATTTGCCCCAATGCCAGC